AGATCACCTTCATTCAATGGAGCAGTCAAGGAAAATTTGTAATCCTTCAATGTAATCTGTACTCCTGATAAGAGGTGCGGTCAATGAATATTAGTGAGGTATGATGCCATCTAACCTGTTTTGTTACAGAATTCCCTGAGAAGAGAGACTCTGCTAACACCACAAGTAGTACACATGTGAGTTACAGAATTACTAGAGAAAGAGATAGATATTTAAGTACATATACATCATTAAATATTGTTTATTCCGTTATTATTAGCTTACTATTCCAATGTGTACAGGAAATGCTGAAGTACATCTTCCACTAACAGTTTCCATAACTTTCCTTGAGACAAGTCTAACAAAATATATCATTAATGTACTGTACATGTACAAGTTGCATATTATCAATTGCAGCTATTGTACAAAGTAAAAGGTAAAGTAAACATACACTGCATATGGCCTTTGAAATGCACTGCAATGGCTCCATACATTAATAGTAACATAATACAGTCATTACATGTTCATATACATGTAAAGTAAATGCACATTATGCTCTGTATGTCACACATGCTGTAAAAGATATAGCACAATACCATTTCCAGCAGATGTAGTTTTAGTGACTGGACCACTAGCACCACTACCACCACTTCCTCCTCCCTTCTTCTTGGACTTCTTTTTTGTAGCAGCAACCTCAGAGGGAGAGAGACAGAGAGACAGAGAGAGGACCAATGATACAACAGGAGAGTAGGAGACAATAGTACTGTACAGTACTTACTTCATCAGAAACAATCTCTTCAGTATCAGTCTAAAAAATAAAAAAGAGCAAAGTCAAATAATGACAAAATTAAAGTTACATGTACATTATGTACAAATGTATTGTTAGTGTACTATTATCACTGCATATCTTACTAGTAAACAGTTGAGGAAATAAGCCACATTGGCTGACACACGGTTCAATGGAGTCATTAATAAAAGCTTCCTGAATCTCTTCTTAGTATCATCTCAGTAACACAGATCCTCTACGAGATAATATACATGTACATGCATATGTAAACATACAAGTATAGTGTCATTAATATGTAAAATGATGGCAGATCTGTGTGGAGAAATTGCTGATACAGTACGTCCTTGATTATCCGTACCACTTTTATCCAAACCCTTGCTTATCCAAACCCCTGCTTATCCAAATGCATGGCTGCCTCTAATGCCCATGCTCAGACTATAATAACCGGTTAAAATGGCTGCTGCAGCAAGGAGCTTACAGAGCTTAACAAGAGAAATACCGTATACTGGGAAATTTTTGAGTAGCCAAATTTTCACAAATTTCACGTTTTTTACTTCGTCGCAAAAATAAAAATCATGAAATTGTAACTTTCCAGTGCCACATGGTGGAATTTATAGGCTGTTTCCAAAAATATTATTTCATGAAATCTTACAAATGCAAAATTCGTGAAAATTTAGCGATGCAAAAATATCCCAGTATACGGTACCATTAAAGAGAAGCCTGAGATGCTCTGGGAGTTAGAGAAAGGAAAGTCATACTCATTTAATTTTCAGAAAAGTATAGGATAGGTCGGCCTACTGTATTCTGTGCTGTATTTCACTTATCCAGACTATAGAGGATATGCGTGCTAGGTATATTCATAATTTTTAAGTACCGTATATCCAACCCACACAGTAAATTGGCCGCCATGTTGGACTTCAAGTTTATTAAAAGTTCAATGGGGGAAAACTCATTTTCTTGCCTTGCTACCTTCTTGAGGCCTTTTTCGGAAGCTTAGAAAGCATACTGAGGATCTAATGGGTCTAGTAGTCACCTGAAAGATTGCTATCAAGAAATAAAGAGCGGTTTCCTGGTACCAAGCCTTTTTCTATCTTTTGTCCATTGCTGCCAATGCAAAGTTGATGTCCAACGAACTAATGTCTTTCTTGAAAGTTATTACAGCATGCAATGAATACATTTATTTTGCAATGAATACACTTAGCATGTATATCCTCTATTCAGCTATCTGAACATCTCTCCCAATAGAGGTGCACAAAGGTGTTTGGATAATCGAGGATGTACTGTACCAAATTAGCTACTACTACATGTACAAGTAACTAATGAATCGCCAAAAAATTGCCAAAATTATATTTTGGCAAAACTGCTTAACCCACAAAACTGCTAAACCCACAAAACTGCTAGTACAAGTACCATTGCATGTCAGGAATTAGTTGACTTACATGTAAGTGGTCCAGATCTTCCCTTGACTTGGCTAGCATTGCAATCTTCCCAATATAACGATTATTGATACCCCTTGAGTGGAGGAGGCATTTCAATGAGGTGCCATCAATTGGTGATATATTAAGATATATACAGTCTCTCACCTACAGGTGTAAAACAATCATTAGTACATACATGTACAGTATAGCTGGATGGTTTATCATGGCCTCAAATTTATAATGTTTAAATTTTCTTACATTCACGATTTAATTTTTTTTTAATATTTTAATTGATGTTCACAAATGTAGTGGACCTGCACAAAAATTAATTCCATACTTTAAAAAAACAAAATTTATGCATGACCCTAGGACAATACAATAACAGTAAAAATATCTAAAATTAGACTAAAAATTATAAAGCATTTACAGAAAAATTTTCATGCTACAAGAAGTAGAAAGTATAATGTAAACCAAACATAGTATGAAGTATGCAACAAAAGAAAGTTAATATAACACAGGCGCAGGGTGCCTTTTTTAGGGCTGTAAATGTGGCTGATTTCGAGACTGTTTGAAGATTCACAGAAACTAATTCGGCAAAAATCAAATTATTACGGTACCAGATGATAAGAGACGGTTTAAATTCACGATAATTAAATCTGCAAAATAGATCTTTAGGCCAATTCGTGAAATTTACAGCCCTGTACCCTACGGTACACATACAAATTTAGGTACAGCATTCATTGTTAAAAGTACAAATTATTAAATTGGGTACCTCTTACCACAAAATAAAGTCCCGACATGTACATGTATGTCTGTCAGCAGTTAATCAACAGAACAAGTGACTGTATAAAAGGTGCTTTGTTTCACAAGTATACACTACAAACAATGTTGACTACACAATTAATCACAACAAATATTACATACATGTACATGTGTATAGCAAATAAATTATAATAATTGCAAATAACAATTTCTCTTTTTTGTTATAAAAAATAATAATAGATTGCACACACTTTTAGGAAAACCTCAGACATTGAGTTGAGATTGTACATTACAGTCATTTAGTTTATCATTACTAGCTTTCAAATAAGAATAAGTATAGGTTATACACCGAGGTAGAGGTTTCTATGGTATTTATTAACCGAGCGACGCAGTCGCGAGGTTAAAAAATACCATAGAAACCGATACCGAGGTGTATAACCAACTTCTATCATGACATTTGAAAAACAACTACCAGCTGCTGATAATAAGACCACAGTTGACATACATACATCGTATCTAACAGGCTAGGCAGTAAAGAATCAACCAAGCTTGACAAATGGACTAATAAGAGCATAAGCGTAGAGCGCCAGGTTTCTCTTATTTTATTTAATAAACCAAGAGGTTAATAAGTGTTCCCGGGAGGTTAATAAGTGTTCCCGGGAGGTATCTAATAGATTTAGAAACCTGGCATTCTGCAATCTGATTGGTCAATTACAAGTAGGCATGATAGAAGACATGAACAAGAACAACACAAAAAGAGAGAAATAAAACAGAGCATTCATGAAGGTGAGAGATAAGGGCCCTGGGTAGACTCTATCATGCAAAATAAAGGGCAACTATTGCCATCATACTTTGCAGTTTCATGAGATGGCAAAGTATAGTTTACATAGATAAAACAAGTGCCACAAAATGGGTGGTGCCAATTACTAATAGTTTACTCAATAAGCTTAAACTTTAAACATAACAATGTTCCCAAACACACACTCTCTTTTACCCTGATAATATTTTGAGCTATTGGTACTAGCTGCATACCTCATTCTACACAGCTCCAGACATCATTACTTGCCATGTTATGGTACAAAAACATGGCAGTACAATTGTAAGGCATTAACTACCTTATGAGTTGTTCCTTGCTTTAGAAATAATTTTTAGTTGGCTGGAAAACCAATGTGTAAGTTCTGCCCCTATAGTCAGTCTAAACAAAGGCGCTACACAATTGTGAAAGGGTTCTTCTATGGCTTCACTTCCTGATACGTCACTGATAAAATGATATTCATTGCCAATGGCTTATGAATATAATTAAAATCATTCAAAATTTGAACCACGTGTAGCTGATAAGCTGATAATTAGGCAATTTCTGAAAAACATAGCAAGTTTGAGGGGAATTTTACCTGAATAAAATAAGACCCAGCAACTGAGGAGTCTCACAATGTATTAAGTACAGTACCAGACCCTTTGGCACAAGCCCAGCACCCCTATGAATGATTTGCACAAAAATCAAAGTTGCTTTGTGGCTAAAAAGTGAAGATGGTGGCTGTGCTAGTGGATGTGTATCTCCTAAACAGAAGCACAGATGAAGCTCATTCTTGACAATAGCAAGGAGGAGAGTTGGTTCTATCTGTATATGGTAAATAAGGAGAACAGCTCTTGTATATCAAGGACTTTAGGTCGCCAAATTGTGGCCAAGTTTACGGCACTTTTTCTACAGCTATATCTGCTCCATTAAGATTGAAACTTGTAGGACATGTAGACTACACCTTCCTAAGTCTATGGAAAGACTTTAGAGGTTCCTGGTAGTCTGTGAATGATTTGCACAAAAATCAAAGTCAAACAATTCTTATTAAACAAATAATTTTCACGGTGGCATATCTTTGCTTAAACTTCGCACATGAAAACAAAACTTGTTTCTTTATAACAAGCAACTTCTCCTTTCTTAATGGTGCTAGTTACAGCACTGTTCAAGTATCTATGTAAGAGAAATAAGTAAAATAGTATGTGTATCCATTACAGCATGAGGAAAACCATATGCTTTCCTACACTTCCGGTGTTCAGAGAGGTGTAGCGCCTTCGTGTAGACTGAGTATAGTTTTGACCAGAATATAAAGCTCTTACACAGAGGTATCCTCCATCTCACTTCAAGGTATGGCTCTGGCTCAATAGTGGTAACCACTCCCAAATCAATTAATATAACACTTTACACAGCCTCGATTGTAGCTTACTTGTCACTACTGTTAAAGCTAATCTTGAGGAACATAAAAAGACTCCAAGCCCTTAGTGATAGATGAACACCCTTTACCATCTGGATGAAGCCTATACTGCTTTATTAATAATGCAGGATTAAATTTCACTATGAATGAGAGCCTTCAATCAATAACGAAAAAAGAAATATACTGTGCCCGGACACTCTA